CATTGGAGATATTGAGGAGCAACGACAGCTTGCTGTATGTCCTCACTCTGCTCGAACTGTGCTGGCGTAAAGCGCTCTGAGGATGTTTACATATCTGGTACGCCTTTTTGTGAAGACAGTCCTAAAGGGCACATCGATCAACCGAATCGGAGGCACCGTTGTTTTCGAAAAACCCGACCAAGATAAATCGCTATTGAAGATGATGGCACTTCGAAAATGGTATAATGTATAGCGCTAAAATTTTCCCCAGTTAAAAGCTCCGCAACACCTATGTTACCTACGTCCGATGGGGAAGTAAAATACTTGCTTTATTGACTCCTGTGACATCACTATATGTGATCACTACTGTACAATTTTAGCACCTAATCTTAAGGCTTATCAGCGCCTACTCTCAATTTAGTCAATCTGCACTTCGCTTTCTGTCTCCATCCACATCGTTTGACTGAAATTCTTGTGGCGCGATGCACGACTTGGCTGCCTGTTCCCACTTACGTACTGGTTACATAATTTCCTTTCCTGGCCTTGAGAGCACTTAATGTTTGCTGGATCAGCCAATTATCGGCCGAGACATTCAGCAACACAGGTGGGACTGTCCACTATCCGCTCAGCAAATATAATGATCGCAGTCTGTGTACAGGTATTGTGCCATCGGGACCATGGCGGAATAGGTAAACAGGATTAGTGTAAAAGAAAGAAAAACAAGCGATTTTTGTCCATTTTCTCACTCAGTTTTTGGGCTTTTTGAGGTTTCTTTATTGTCGGAGGGAAGAGGAATCACCGCAACAAGCAGAGATCCACGCTCGCCACTGAGTTCGATTTCGTGCCATGACTTCCTAGGTTTCCAACCAACTGCACTCAGCATTCTTGGAACCCCATCCAGAAAGCCGGGAGGAACCAACCGTGGCCAGCTGTTTTGTCCGATTTTTCATCCTGCTTCTCCAAATTGTAGGCTGTCCAGCGACCGCGAACAAGGCACGACGCGGAAGGCGCTGAATGGGAATACGCAGTACGTGTCCGAGCCATAGTAGTTGGCTCAGCGAAACAAGCGCCTCCTAAGACACGCTGTCTGACTTCGGCGTCGGTTACATGGTTTAGCCACCACACACGGGTGATGGACCGCAAGCAGCGGTTCTTGAAGACAGACAGTCGAGGTAGGTCATCGGTACGAGCAGGCCGTCTCGCAACCGTACAACAGTACAGCGCGGATAATAGCACTATAAATCCGTCCTTTGATGGAGTTGCGAATGTCATGGCGGCCCCATAAATGTCTCAGCATGGAGAAGGCGAGACGAGCTCTTGAGATACGCATCGGTTAAGTGCAAGTTGGACGACCTGCGGACCGTCACCTAACAAGACGATATCATCAGAATAATCCAAATCAACCACCCGAATATCTGGGAGGATCTCAACGCCAGCGTTTATTAAGTCTTCTAGAGCATTTTTGAGGACATTCTCAATGGTAAAGTTGAAAAGGAATGGAGAGACAGGGTATCCTTGTCGAACCCCACTGGTGACAACAAAAGAAGGCGAAAGCTTGCCATAAGCCCTAACTCTACCCGAGGTCAGACTGTACTTAGCACATAGTATGGAAACGAACTTCACGCGAATGCCATTCCTCAACAGACAGTGCCACAATGCAGCCCCTGTCGACAGAATCGAAAGCAGCACTGATATCCAGTAATACAACAATCGTTGGCTTTTGGTACACATGGCGGAGCTCGAGAATCTGGCGGAATGTGAAAATCTGATCGATGCAGCCGCGACCAGGGCGGAACCCAACCTGTTCTTCTCATTGTAGTGATTCACGCGTTGGGGATAGACTGCGAAGAATGATGGACACCAGAATCTTGCAAACGACGGGAAGCAAACTTATGCCCCTGTAATTGGAGCAATTTGTGCGCAGGCCCTTTTTGAAGATGGGGACGACTATCGACCCACTCCATGATGATGGAACCTCCTCTTTTGCTCAGACTTCTGAGAACAAAGCGGTGAGTTTTCGAACCAACGAAGAAGCTCCATCTTTAAGTAGAGCAAGAGATAGACCATCAGGCCGGGTGCCTTATATCGCTTTAGGCAGCAGAGTTCTCTCCAGATTTCCTGGTGAGAGTGAGGATCAGTTGGGATAGTCCACTCATCACCAGTGCGCGACCCAGGGGAAGCAGATGGAGCTGGCGGCCAGCAAAACTGCGAGCGAAAATGTTTGGCCCATCGCTCCAACCGTCGTTGAAGATTGTTTCGCTTACTCCTGATCGGAATCCTTCGATGACTCGGATGTGGTGGAACAGTTTTCTGGTATTACCAGAGAGATGAGCAAGTTCAAGCTCTCTAGCATGTTCATATCACCAGATCTCACCGTCCTCCTTTAAGCTCCTATGCAACGCTCGATCCAGGGATCGCCGTTCCTCACTGCAGCTGGTGTCGGCTGGGATCAAGCGGCGTCTGTTCATCAGTGACAAGGAGGCAGTGGTGATCCAGCTTTTCGGCGGGTGACAACCAAATCCACAACTGCCAGTACTGGCAGAAATTAAAGCGTCTTTGATGCGCATCCATTGCGAATTGAGTCCATCGTCTGAGGATGAAGCAGGCAGTGTTGACAGAGAAGTCTGGTGCTTGGCTAATGTCGTAGGATGTTGCAGATTTTCCACGTTCGGTCGATAGTGCGTACGTCTGGATGATCCTTCGAAACGCACACGAATTTTGGCGCGAACTAGTGCGTGATCGGACTCCAGACAAGTTGACCAATGCGATCGGCAGTTCGTAACGCTTCCGCGCCATCTGTAGCTTATTACTATGTGGTCAACGTGGGACCATTCTTGTGTTTGAGAAGGCGGACGCCAAGTAGCAGTCTGTCTTTTCGAATGACGAAAACTTGTACTCGAAAGAAACATGCGATGATCAGAACAAAGAGTCTGTAGTCTGTCTCCATTGTCTGATCGGCTGCTACCGAGGCCAAAATGCCCCCAAAATCGTGCTCGCTTGGTGGCAGGCGGTCCACTCGCGCGTTAAAATCTCCGGCAAGGATGATAATGTCAGAATTTTTAGCGGAACGCAGGATCTCTTGTAGTTGTTGGTAAAAGCAACCATTGGCGGCATCCGGGCTGCAGTCTGGAAGAGCGTAGGCGGAGATGACAAACAAGACACGCATAACATCTCGACGCTTACTTAACTTACATGAACCTCGTAGTCTGACTGAACATGGCCGACTGTTGACTGGGATCCAGTCAAGCTGAGCGACCTCAGCCCTGTCACTCAATACAGTTCTGACACCAGCTTGGCCAGAAACGGCGGCCTCTGGGTCTCCGGAAAGGCGCAAGTGGTATTTGACGTCAGGGTTGCCGAAGATGTCATTCTGATGAGGGTACTGACGTCTTGCAACCTGGTTTCGGAAAGGCAACAGATATCCACCGAGAGTGTCTCAAGGGTGCGGGTCAGACATGCTTGTCGTCCGATGTGCATCAGAGTGCGCACATTGAACGCTGCAAGGCCGATTGGAGAACCAGAACGAATGAATGCTTGGGCTTCGGTTGCGTGTGAAAATGATGTGACCACCGGGCAACGAACAACAAACGTTTGGCTCAGAACTCTGTCAAATGCGACCAGTGAGCTCTTGATGGTGATCGGGGAAGATATAGGTGCAGTTGAGGAACGGGACGTGAGACTATCTGTGAGCGGATGTTGAGCAGCAGAGACGGTAAAGCCTGTAGGCATAACAAGAAGGAAAGCAGTAGTGTAATCCATTCATAGTTCGTCAGTGGGCGTGATACTACCCGGTTGTCCAAGCCGAAGTATAGGCTTGTCTTAGGGCCCCCCGAACCTTTGATTCAGGATCTAACCTACAGCAGCAGGACGATATGAAGGTATCGCAACCCGTTGGAAGCCGGTGCTCAAACAAGTGGTTTATACGCATTTAGGGCCGCATAGGACCAGGGGCCCAACACATCTTTGAATTACAATGCCGTTCAGAGAAAGGCAAGGGGCAATGACTTTATTTAGTGGCGAGTCACATCCGCCATGTCACAGGGTTGTTAAACAGACATATATGGCTTTTATAGGGAGAACGCTTGCCAGGTGAAACCCACCACGTCCTGGAACACTGCCGCCGAGTCCGTTCGCTGGAACGGGATAATCCCGATCTATCCAGCTGGCACCACGCGGAGGTTGTTCGGAAAGCCAGCCAACCTTCATTTGCATTTTCGTAACCCAGGTCAATGCTGCTTCTGACTGAGCGCATCGCTTTTGGATCTGTTTTTTTCTCCCCAATAATGTAAGCAAAAACCTACAGGTAGATCATCGATGCTAGTTACGTCATTATTGTGGGATGCAGACCGTTGGACAGCGCACTAAGTGATTGTAACTGGGACTTTCATGACCGTGTTGCGCAGTGTTAGTCATTTTTGTTGCTTTATTTCGGTATTGCATAAGCATATCCTCTGCATCTTTATTCGCGCCGAAATGAAACGCTTTCTCAGCTTGTGATTGCAGTCTGTCGCTCCTGTTCTCCACTCCCCCTCCATATTCCTTGAAGACGGGTTTGGCATTCTCACTTGGCACCTTTTAATCAGTGTGACACCATCCGCTTGTTCTGCCAACCTGTTTGGGCTTAAACCACTTGAGTTCTGCGTCGAGACAATCCCAGAACTTCATTGCTCTCTGTTAGATCACGTTCCCGGTCGTTGCTCTCAGTAATCCAGCCAAATGTTTACTTCCATGAGTATGTTAATATCAGAGTACATGTGCAGCATTTCGATTTTTTGGTATGAGTCCTCTGAATCCCGTACACAGTGCTTCCGAGCTGCTTAGTCTGACTGCACTTTGATATTACATGCGTTTCTGTTAATGCAATGTCAAATTCGATTCATGTGCATTGATTTGTCAATTCGATCACACATGCGGCGTTTTAACTTTGGTTTCTTGGATACCAACTCCACGCAATATACCTGCACCCCATTGTCCCGCTCTTATGTCGATCATCCTCATAAGTTTCCCTTCCACTTGTATAGGTTCATCCAGCCAAGTGGCCCAAAACTTTTACCGAAGCTTGATCAATGGCTCTGTGTGTAGTTCGCCGTTTCCGGCCAACCCGAACAACTTCGGCTCCCTAAGTAACACTCTGAACGTTTCCAACACTGCTTGCCAAACTGATTGTGTTCCAGTCAGCTCCACCGCTCCCGCTGGTTCTTCTTTACTCTCACCAGCCAGCTGCTCAGTCTTCTCTAGCACTCCTCCGATGCATCATCTGAGGGGTCTTAGTTTCACACCCCTCTCGGTCGATCCAGATCAGACAAATTGTTCATCCACCTCCAACGTTGATTGGGCAGATCCAGTGTCAGCCGCGCAGTCAGCTCCTCCCTTGAGTGTGATGCAGCTCCCCCACTATCCATCACGTGCGGTCACACACTCATGCGGCCTTAATCAACCCCGCGGTCCGCTCCCGTCACACACCAGCAGCTCAGATGAAGGTCCCTGTCGTCAGTCCGTGAAACACTAAACCCTTTGTTGTTCGCACATGTCTCTGGAGGCATCACTGGCACTTTCCTTACGTATTTGATTTTTGCTGGTTTTCTCCACAGTCACTTCACCGGACTGCCTGCCAACCACCGGTTTCACTCCTTCACAGTCGACACATGCACTCGTCAGTCGCTCGTTCACTCTCAGTCGTGCTCGGTCATTTCCTTATGGTTTCTCTGCTACACAAATCAGTTGACTTTTCCCTTTTATGACTTCTGTACATAATCCCAAATGTATACAGATCACATCGTGCTTCTCGGAATATTTTCGCCTGTTATTTTTTCTTCCTCAGTGTTTTTGACCTTTTATCTCCGAAGTTTATCTCAACAACCACTATGCCATATGACCATGTGCATAAATTTTTAAACTTTCCCAACTGAATTAGCCCAGTGTTTAACATTCATCCTTTTTTATGTCATCATCCAAATCACTGGCTGTTCACCGGTCTCTCTCCGTTCCATCTCGCCCCATTTTATGCTTTAAAATATTTGTGACTGTGAGAGAAAAGTCTATGGGCTTCCTCCCTTCCTTTCACACCGTGGCCTGCCGTTACCGTCCCCTTTTTTATCTCCTCCATTCGATTGTTTTTTTTAGGATTACACGGCGCCAACAGATCGGTGTTATTTTATTTTTATACCTGTATGTATGTATGCATGCCAGTTTGCAGGTCACTGTTTGCCTTCCAATGCTAGGGGAACAAAGAGGCTATTGAAGTTGCGTTTCCCACTTGGTCCATCACTACTCTTGAAATCCCTGTGCAATTCTCGCTTCTGGCGTCGTCATCGTCCTCGTCCTCTTTGCTGCATCCGGTGCTGTTAAGGCCCTTTGGCCAACGCAGTTACTTTCAACATCATCTGATACGAACTGTGCTGCTTTCCCGCTTCTTCTTCCTCCACCCTATCTTCCTCCGCTTTATGTGTCAGGACATACCCCCAATATCGATTCTCCACTTTTGCACTTTCACCTCTCATTGTCTAATTGTTTCACTTCCGATTTCAGCCACATACGCATCATGGCTCGAGAGTTTTCGTAATTTAGGTAATATTTTTATTTCCTTTTATCACTATTCTCATCGAGAAAAGATACGACAAAGATCCGCAGTTGGTATTTTTAACCTTTTAGGTCACACTCGCTGTTCACTTTCGCCTCCACAAATTCGAACCATGCAGAAATGACACAACTATTCTTATCTCTATCGTATACGATTCAATCTTGTCAATGCTGTTATGCCAGACAACATCGAATGCATTGTTCATTCATGTGTATCTGAGGACTTTTTCCCCACCACACTTAAAGTCTACGACGTTGCAAGAACGATTTGTGCTGGATGGTATATTAATTTTATCGGAGGACAAGTTATAAACAGTTCACATAGCATGTGGTCTGTGGATTGTCGGGTGCTCACCTTTATCCCTTTTGGTTCCTTCGTCATCTGCGCTCAAGCCATTTGTTGCGTCAAACTGTCATAGTAATCCGATCCTCCACAAATAGGACACGGTACGAACCACAAGTAGGGATTTTTCCCGTACTGTAATCTACCGACAGGCATTTTGAATGTTCCATGATCGATCAATCAAGCCGATCAATACTTCTCGATCCATTGAGCTGACGTCAGCCTCATGTGCCTATTGGCTGATGCACACTGCGCTTGTCCACTCGCGTGCTTTTGACAGCGCCACTAGGAGTACACCTTTCTATAACCGGTTACAAGGAATGCGTTCTATACAGCTGGTCGGTTGCTGTCTGACGGCAAAACTCTCCAGATCAATCCTTCTAGTTTTCCTTGAATGGTCTCGTTTGCTGATCGAACCGGCTTGTTAGGGGAACAAAAATACCCAATGCGATTCATCGGCCCTCTCCGTTTGTGATTGTTCCAGGTCCATTTTTGTACTGTGATATATATATATATATATATATATATATATATATATATATATATATAAGGAGAGAGAGAGAGAGAGACGGTTCCGGATTTACTTGTCACTGTGAACAAGTCAGAGGACGTCTGCGCCTACAGATGAATAGTGGGTGGCTTGCGCTGCACCACCTACACACCCCATATCTATTGTAAACCGAAGGATTAAGACCGGGATGCATGCGGATGGGAGCCACGTTTCATCAACGGAGCCCGCCCACACTCCTTTAGAGGCAAACACAAGCAAGTTGTGGTTGGGGAATCAATCGCACACAAAGCGGTGGCTGGACCGTAGTCCGCTCAACACTTAGTGCATGGAATCACTGTTCGAGCCTAGCACGACCACAAGGGCCGTGCACCCCGTCCCCTCCAGCAACGGCCGTCTCCTGGACGTCCATTGACCCTCTGTACGCCCAGGCGTCCCGTGGCTGGTCACATGGACAGACAAATCCGAAACCGGATGCCGCCAACCATATATATATATATATATATATATATATATATATATATATATATATATATATATATATATATATATATATTATGCGGCAATTCGCTTGGAAATCTTGAGTGAACTCGTCTCCACCGGTTTCAACCAAACAAGACCGGAACTGGAATACCGTACTATTACATATAATTAAAAACAACAATCTGCACTACCTCAGTAATCTGTGCTCCCGGCACAGGCGTATCAGACAACGACAACAATTCAAGGTAGCCAGCAAGCGGAGTTTTAACCACGCAGAATAAGCTCGTCTCAATGTACTTTGGCTTGAACTGGATTACACATGACTAATCGGAAAGGGAGGTTACCATGAAACGTGGGCGTTCGGCCAGTGCTTTACCCACACAGACGCACCGTGATGGTATTGCAGGCTTTTCAATTACATATGGAGTAACATTTGCAATTGTCCTCACGGACGATGGGATTTCATGTATGTGAATTCTATTCACATGATCTCGCAACACTGCTCACCAGTATCCGAATGCCACATCACAGGAGTTAAAACGGAACATCACAACATGATAACATGAAGCGACAATTAGTTCTGTTCAGAACTTGGAAATATAGGTCAATGTATGCACGGTTGAATGCAGGTCATCTATGTGTTTGAAGTTCAAATAAACTTAATTAACTTGGTACGGAACACAATGTCCATTAAGAGCCAGATAACAAAGATCGGTTGGGACCGATAAAGGAGTTGGAAAACGGTAAAGGGAATCTGTAGGAGTTGTAACTACTAGCCTGAGGCGGTGCGCGCAATTTAGCAGGGATATCAGAAGGTATTTGGATTCGGACCCAGCGGACTGTGTTCAATGGGCTACAAGACGACGCGGGCAGATGAAGCACGACAAGACCTACACGTTAGCGTGAGGACTTAAAAGTCGGTCAATTGTCGAGCCGGATATAGGTCAACATGGACTTAATGTAAGGGAGATTAAAACAGCAAAGAATCGTGTACAATTGGTTACTAGCGAAATTGTACACAAAAGATAATACTTATCTTTTGGGGTGCTACAGAGCTCCCCTCCTAGAAGGCCGAACAAAAGCAGCCTTCGAATTCTGGAGTGACGGGTGAATCGAAGTTGGTTGGGCAAAATCGTGTCTTGTGAGTGGGTTTTCGGGTTAAATGGAAGTTCGCCGGAGGTCGGAGTCCGCTGTGCCGTTTGTGATTTATTATTTATCGATTGCAAGACGGTGCATTTCGGCGAGCCGTTGTCGGACTACAAAATAACTGGCTAGCCCAGAAAAAGGCTGACAGAACCTCAACCGCTTCTGCCAAGCGGTGCGCCTGAGAGTGGCCTGTCCCCGTGCCGCAGGCCGCCCCGCGCCAAAATTACCCTCGCCCCACGAAGAAGCGATCCTCATCTCTCGGAGAAACGACCAGCGTTCGCGTCAGAATCCTCGTTGACTTCGCCGATACTCGAAAAAATCGCTCTTGTGGGCCAAACGATCGAAGGGGGTTGGGGCATGTAGAGACGAGAAAATAGGAAAACACCAGAATGCACAGACAACTGATTTGCGTGTTTAGCTTCTTAGGTTTTTGAGTGTTTAAAAGAAAGATTTTTCGGAATTTTTTGTTTTCATGACGTTAATTGACCATAAACGGAGCAAATGTATACAATCTCTACAAAACTAAACGTATTTACACTGTACATAGTCGGAAAAACTAATTTGCTTACGCACCTCGCGACCACGACGATTGGTCGTGGGAGGCGGCGGGCTGGATTCGGGAGATGTCGGGATGTCTGCTGTTTCTAGACCGGGATCGTGGTCTGGTTGAAATACACTAGGATGCTGAAAGTTGGTGCGGTGTTGTCATGTCACACGAAGCACTACCAGACGAAGTGGACGCGGTGGTTTCTTCCCTAAAGACAGGCTTCGACCACCGCGGTCAATCGTGTAGGTTTTTTTCGCACCGTGTAGCACTTTGAAGGGTCCTATGTACGGCGACTGAAGAGGCTGTCGAACGCCGTCTGCGCAAAGAAGGACGTGTGAACAGGTAGACAGCTTTTCGGGAACGTACACTGTTGTGATCTGCGCTCGAGGAGCGGGTGGACATAGCTCACGCATCTGGTGAGCCATTCGATCGGTGTAACTTCCGTAGTCAAAAGAGTAAGTAGACCAGACTGGCGCTACCAGCTGTCCGGGCAACCGCAGCATGAAGCCGTAGACTAGCTGCGCTGATGTTGCTTCCAAGTCGCTTGTAACAGTGTTTCTTAAGCCTAGGAGAACGAAAGGATGTCTTTCAGACCATGAAGGATCTTCATGCGCACGTAGCGCTGCCTTCAACTGGCGATGAAAGCGCTCCACCATACCGTTGGCAGCCGGATGATACGCCATCGTCTGAATGTGGCGACAGCCTAAATCCTTAAACAACGTGACAAAATTCGACGAGAAATATGGCCTTCAGCCGGTGGTCACGATGACGGGACAGGCGTATTGAGCTACCCAGCGCCCTAGAAAGGCTTTCGATACAGTTTCCGAAGAGCAGTTAGGTATGGGAATAGCTTCCGGCCACCTACTGAACCGATCGACACAGGTCAGTAGATATACACAGCCTTTTGAAGGCGGCAGAGGACCTACGAGGTCGACGTGCACGTGATGAAAACGTGCATCTGATGTGGAAAATGTTCCTACTGGGCTTTTCGTGTGCTTATGCACTTTCACGCGTTGACACGGAAGGCAAGCAACTGCCCAAGTACGAACGTCGCGATTGACATTACGGCAGGCGAACCGTGTGGTTACGAGTTTAACCGATGCACGAACGCCTGAATGAGACAACCCGTGCAACATGTCTAATGCGGTCTGCCGAGACTAACATGGGACGATTGGGCGCGGCGCGCCCAGCGATAAATCGCATAGTTCCGTCTGATGATGTCAGCTGAACGGGTCGTATGTCCAGTGAGGGAGACCTACGTTTTATACCAACCTCAGGATCATTGAGTTGCGCTGCAGCCAAGGCTGTCAAGTCGATAGCAGTGCCTGCGTACTCAGAGATCGCTTGAATTCGGGAAAGTGCGTCAGTATTGTGCACACCTGAGACATGGCGTATATCGGTCGTAAACTGAGCGATATAGTCTAGGTGGCACGACTGTCTAGGAGAGTATCGGTCGGTAGTCGAGCCGAGCACGTAAGTCGGGGATTTGTGGTCCGTGAAGACACCAGAGAAGCGACCTTCTAATACATCTCGGAAATGACGTATAGCTGAATAAATGGCTTGTACTTCTCTACCCAAACTACTCTAACGAGATTCGGCAGGTTGCAAAGATTTGGAGAAAAATGACGACGGCTGCCAAGCGTCACCTACTTTTTGTTGTATGACCGCCCCAACTACCACGTCATAGACGTCGGTACTGAACGACAGTGGGGCTGCCGGGTCCTGATGCGCTATAGAAGCTATGTTGGCGGTAATTTCTTTCAATGCCTGGAAAGGGGCGCGTGCCGCTGCAGGAAAATTGAATTTCTTAAACTTTCTTCGGAGAAAGTCCGTGAGGGGTTGCATAGGCGAAGTGCAACTAGGTATGAAACGGCGATACAAGTTGACGAGACCGTCAAAGCGTCTTAGCTGTTTGAAAGGGAGAGGCTCGGGGTAGTCGATGATGGCCTTTATTTTATCCTGTGGTGTCGACGCCTGCAGGAGAGGTTGTGGCCGAGAAAACTGACCGAATCGACACCAAACGAGCACTTTTCTGCGTTGATCGTCCCCCCGTGTTGAGATAAACGATCAACAAGCATTCGAACGTGGCGTAAGTGCTCCTCGCAGTAGGAGCTCGCGAGTAAGATGTCCTCGAGGTAGGCATAAGCGAAGTCCAGACCGCGACAAACTTGGTCGATGAAGCGAGACA